AAACCCTTCATACAGGCTTGGCCGGATGGGACTCTATGTCGGCCTGATCAAATCAGTTCTCTATAATTTAAATTCACAAAGAATTTCAGTTAAATAAATGCAACTCAATAAATTCAGGTCCCAATTCAGCCCAAATAAGATCCAATCTACTCTTTTTTTATTAAAGCCCAATCCAATCTATTCTACTCATCGAAGAAACCCTAGGAATAAATACTTCTCACTTGCCCGATCCCCCCATTATGCGACCATCCTTAGAGCCATGGGTTACACCGATGCTCTCCGCCTCATTCTCATCCATTCGTCCTGCTTTCCATCTTCCAACATACCATCGTCTAGCCTCTCCCTTCTACACCATGGAGGCATATATGCTTAATCCGATGCTCTCTGTGAATCACAAAGATTCCATAGTTTTCATGGATGAGTCGAATTCCTCAGACGGAGAAGCCACTCGCCGGTTGAAGAACTATCTATCCCGCGGTAGCCGAACCTTTGACACCGAGTACAGACATATTTTTGACTCTATTGTCGGTATATCGATACATCCGTGTACTTGATTGTTCCTGACTCGTTTAACTGCATGTTTCCAACACTGATGATTTTTTAAAAAATAAAAGAAACTTGATTCTGTGGTACAAATTGAATCTGTCAATATACTCCGTATGAGTTATATGTATGATTTTTTCCAATAAAGTGAACGGGTTTCATAGATATTGCAGTGACTCTTGTCTCTTGATACTGAAACCTATTGAAAATGAGACTTGTGGTAACCCTCTGTCACACAGCTTACTCTATTAAAACATTTACTCTGTTAAAGTCCAAACTCTGAAATTAAATGATTTTTTCCATCAACCTATTTTTATCCTGTTTTTAACCTTGTAACAACCTCTATAATCTTTGTTTGGAGGCAATAGCACTTTACCAAGTTCTGGATATGTTAGGCCATTAACAGATATACTCAACTAATAGATATATTTTGAAAAGTAATACGTAGTAATTAATTTATTCAGAACAGTTTTAAGTTTATCAAAATATATGTTGTCAAGTTGCTCCCTAATTACTTGTGTCTAAAATAATGGGGTTGTTTGGATTCAGCGGTTTGTGTCCAACCCGATGCTAATAGCAGTTTTTTCCTTTGTAAAAAATGGCATTTTGCTTCACCCGACAATGTGTTATGACTTACTTCACTCATTGTAACTTAATTTCCTTTCAATTTTTCAGAGATTCATGATGTTACAGTTGAGAAGATATCCATACTTATTTTAAAAAATATTTATTTTGATTTTTGAAATATTGTCCAAGTAGGTTTATGCTTGAAAAAAAAAAGATATACGGAGTAGTTCTCAACTTTCTTACTTCTGCAATCTAGCTTTCTTACTTCTGCAATCTAGCACTACTCTTTCTCTTGCAAGTATGTCATATAAATACAATAAAGAGTAGTGTATTCCAGAAATCAAAATATGACATACTTTTATCCTTTATATTCCAGTGTGTTTTACCAAATTTAATTTTATCTTTCAATCATTATACTATACTTTAGAATTTGTAAATTTTCGTCTTTTGGGCCTGAATAAAGTGCCTTGTTATGTATTATTTGTATTAATATGTAATTATTAATTAGTTTAGAGTAGGGAGTGCAGTGTTTAACTTTCGCACATCTTAAACCTACCCAAATCTTTTAATTTTCTATTTATTTGAATAAAATTACTATTCATGTTGAATACCAAGAACTGCAGTTGGTTTCTAAGATCTCAAACCTAATCACGTTGCATGCTCTAAATCTTCCTTTTTTTTACAAAATACTTCGTAGGAAAGTTGCTAGAAACAGACTAAAATATGAATCAACACATTTGGGTTCTTAAGTGTTTTGTAATCTTAATAAATACACCCAAAAGTTGAATTTGAAATAATAATAATATTAGACCATAATACTGCATATCATAAAAGAGTGTAATTTACATTGGCTAATTTTGTACGTAGTACAATTACACCATTTGACATTCCAAAGCCATCTAATCGCCTATTTTGTGTTACAGCTTTTTCTGAACATTATTGGTGGACAAAGAACTTGCGAGAAAACATATAAAATATGCAATGTTAACAAAATAAAAACCGACGGTAATAAGAGTAGATTGTCATTGAATACCATTTGGTGCATGTATACATCCTCGTATTCCAATTGGTAAATGTTAGGCTATGAAGAACACAGCTACGAATACTTTGAATATCTGCATTTTTATAAAAAAGAGTTGTAAGATTGAAATTATATACCCCTTCCCTATGAAGCACGGATACTTCCCTAGGGTAGCGTATCGGCGTATCGGATACGTTCCCGTATCCGATACTCTAGGATACCCGTACCGTACGTTCCCGGGCCGTATCTGCAATTTTTAAAAGTTTCCATTTTTTTTTGTAATTTTTTGAAAGTTTCCGATACTCGTATCCTGACGGATACCCGTATCAACCATTTTTTTAAAAGAAAAAATCCCAAAATTTACTTAATAAAATTCCAAAAAAAAATGAAAATCAAATAATGGGCCTATATGGCTATATCCGAATTAAGTCATTAACTCATACTCCGAAGTGGGTACTTGCACTTTTAATTTCAAGATTGTAGTTGTTTGACTTATTTCACATTTTAAATTAATGACTTATTGACTACATTTATATTTCGAGATACACCAGTGTATATGAGAAATATTATGAATTTATTACTAAGTATCTTGAAAAAGGGAAATGCTTCAATGCAATGAATGGGTAGACATCATAGGATATTATATGTATATATATATATATATATATATATTCAAAAAAAAACTATTTTTAATATTTATAAATAGACCCCTATAACTTTTAATATTTGTAAATACACCCCCATAACTTTTAATATTTATAAATATGGCCCCGTATCCGTATCCTACTTTTTTTGGTTTTGACGTATCCCCGTACCCGTTTCCGCGTTTCCGCGTTTCCGCGTACCGGTATCGGTGCTACATAGCCCCTTCCTTTCTCTTTGAGTCCTCCCCACCCATAGAGTGGGCATGATTTTCAATGGCCCATACAACCGTCCCTCCCGATGCAATTGCTTTGTTCTGTGTTGGAGATGAAATGGGTTCTATTTATACTACTACGTACTATTAATATGATCTTTATTGCTCCGTAGGTAAGAAGACAAACTACCCAATGGATAATAAAATGCCTTGCCTTGAACTATGTTGACATGAAATATGAAAAGACAACACCTTGCAGACTATTATTAAATCTATAATATTTGGTTTTAAATACTCCGTATACTCCAACGTCGATGAAAACTTCAGAATTCTTAAAGGAGATTCGATTTCAATAGCTGGCACGCAACCAATTGAATGAAGACCAATCAATTCTCGTCAATAAAACTCAGTCTGACACCTTTGTCTTAACCGATGTGCTAGACTTGTCTACTGACATACACTCTTTAGATCGAGACAACATTAAATTCGACCTGTCCTGTGGCAGCTGACCCTTTACGTTGTTTAAGTGACCCGATTCGACCCATGGTAGACCCGGACGTTTGGGCGGGAAAACAACCAGTTTTTCCACCTCTTTTTATATAGAGGTAGATAAGCACATCCAATCAAACGTCTAATTTGCTTCCAAACTTATTTTTATTTTGTCTTTCCCTGTATCAGAACCTGCCATGCTTGCACTATGTTCCTCTCCAACTTTTCACGCTCTCTCTTCAGAGCATCAATGGATTTCTTCGGGTCCTTGGCTTGTACATCAACATTCGAAAGCATGGCCTCTTCTGTGGACAATAGGCACCTAAGCAAGCATGGCTTATAATACACAAAATAAGCAAAAAATAAAGTCGCAGTATGCATTAAAATTAAAAATGCATTTTTCACTCTTTGTAATCTATTCTGAAGTCATTGTCTCAAAAAAGTGAAATAAAATTGCATGTAATTCATAATGTTGAACATGTCACATGTAGGGCAGAGCACGGGTCGGGTTCGGCCGGGTCGGGTTCAAAAATGGTAAACCCGTTCGGGTATCGGATTGATAATTTCAAACCCTACCCGATCAAAAAATTTATCGGGTTTTTCGGGTTGAAGAAGTTCGGGTTTCGGTCGGGTTGGTTCGGTTTTCGGGTCCATTCGGATTTTAATTTATTATTGTTGAAATTGTGATAAATAAAATGGTAATTGGTAAAAATATCATTCAAAGTTATACTAGTAAAACATTCAAAGTAATAGTTGTATAAATACGGTGATCGACATATTTGAACATATAAAATAATAATATACGGTGATTGGCATATTTGATAGGGAAAGTTCCCGAAATGGGACTAAAAAAGTTCGAAAATTCCAAAATAGGACTGTCATGTTTTTATTCCCAAAATAGGACCAATTACTGCCAAATTTGGAAAATACTGCCATGTTTGAAGTCTGGTACTGCCAAAACATGACAGTAATTAGTCCTATTTTGGGAATAAAAACATGGAAGTCTTATTTTGGAATTTTCAAACTTCTTTAGTCCCATTTTGGGTAATATCTCTATTTGATATTGTGATAAATAAAATGATAATTGGTCAAAATATCATTCAAAATCATAACAATACAACATTCAAAGTTATAGTTTTACAAATACGGCAATTGGAATATTTGATATGCATAATATGGTAATTGGCATACAATAATTGAGATATTTGAACATGCATAAAAATTCAAAGTAGTATATATACTACCCTAGTTCGGGTTTTCGGGCGGGTCGGGTAGCATAATAGGTAACCCTACCCGCTACCCGCTTAACTCTCGGGTTGCAAAAATCGGATCGGGTTTGGGTCATTCGGGTCGGGTTATCCGACCCAAAAAATAAAATCGGATATATCCGATCGGGTCAATCGGGTAGGGTCGGGTTTGCTCTCCCCTAGTCACATGTATATATCTAAAACTGCATTTTATAAAGGGAAGGAGCCCACTTTTTAAATTAAGCCTGAATACAAAGCAAAGTATGTACAGTTATATATCTTCACGTCCAATCCTTAAACTAAACTTTTTGTTTGCATCATTTATTCTCATGAGAGAATTATCAAGATGTCTAAGAGTAAAAAACTTGCAGAATGTACTATACTAAAAAAACTGTTTATATTCACTACTTGTAATCTTAGTGTTCTCAAATATTCTAGTTCAAAGCTCTATCACATCTATAAGTAGAATATGTACAAACAATTTAGTAACTACATAGTACAGTAGATCAATGGCATCCATGTCATCCAGTACTCTTTTACATCCTAAATCATATATGGTCGAAAAGGACTTGGTTGCCTCATATGCAAAATGGTCACTCAGAACATAACAGACCGACAACCTTTGAAACAGACCAATCCGGTAAGTCTCTCACTTTTTAGCACAAAACAATTGCTTTGAATAAAGGATTCTAAGAGTTCGCAAAAGCTTGATATTCATACCTCAAAAGTGAAGATGAAATAATATGAAAAGAAGCTCAAAACAGTTACTCCCTCCGTCCCGTTAGAAGGTTCCCACTTTCCTTTTTGGACGTCCCGTAAGAAGGTTCTCATTTCCATTTTAGGAAACAATTAATAATCTTAAGTGACAAATTAGTCATTAAATATTACAAATAATACATTTATAACATCACAGTTATCAATACTAA